TCACTCTTATGGCTTCTAACAGCAACAATTTGTTCTGTTTTTGAACTCCATATAAAAGGAATCATGTGGTATTTATTTGATCTGGCATCTTTTATTCAACATTATGTTTAAAAGATTCATTCATGTTTTGTGTGAGGTCTAATTTGTTTATTCACATTGCCACAAAGCAGGGATCCCTAAGGTACATGATCCAAATTCAGCATGCAGACTACTGTTTTTAAATATAGGTTTATTGGTAAATATCCATGCCCCATTTATGTATATATTATGCAGTTATTTTCACACTTCCCTAGTTCAGTAATTGTGATAGAGATCATATGGCCCGAAAAACCTAAAATATTTACTGTTCTACACCAGTTCAGAAGGAATATGTAATCCTGCAAGCAAAGAATATTAAAGTGTAGATCCTGATTTGGGGCACGTCCTAAGCAGATCCTGAAGCTTCTGAAAGTTCAGTTGATCTATGGACCATACATACACTGGGTAACAAAGCTGTAAAAGTTTCCCCTGAATGGACATACCACATTTTCCTTATCCTTTCTACTATTGGTCCACAGTTGGAAGTATCCAGTTTTTGACTATTACAAACAATGCTCTATGAACACTCTAACATGACTTTCAAGTATACATTTCTGTAGCTAGCTATCAAGGAGAGCAAATACTGTGAATCAGCTTTCCAAAATAGTTGTATAATTTATGCTTTTGAGAGCATTATATGAAAAATGTCCTTGGAGTTTCAAATCCTTGCCCAAAACTTGATGTTGTCTTTAATTTTAGCCCATTCTCATTAAGATGAATTTCTTATTAATTAATGAAGTTCAGTACTTTTGTATTTGATGAAGACTAGATATCTTTTTTTAATAAGTTTCCTTTCAAGTTTTTTACTCACTTTTTATAGGCTTCCTGTCATTTTCTTATTGCCTTATGAAAGTGCTTTAAATATTCTGTTAAGTCCTTCCTTGGTTCATGGAACACAAAGATTTTCTTCCATTTTGTGGCTTGGTTTTCATTTTCTTAATGATATCTTGGTAAACAGAACTGAAAGTATTTTACAACTACAAAAATCAGCCCTAATATCATCTAAAACAGCTAACTTGCTAAATAAAGTACTAACATATATAGTTCAATATAATATGTGAAAGTAAAATAATATGTATATCTTGAAAGTAGGTTCTTAAAAAAATTAAAAAACAAAACAAAACAGGAAGACCCCTCATATTCCCAGCTAACAAAGTAGACTCAGGGTTAAACTTTTGAAGAGAAAAATCACAGCAAACAACTTTTGAATGTTGCGTAGCTTCCACATATAACTTTTCGGGGACCTACTGGATTTAAAGCAATCACTGAAAGCTGAGAACTAAAATAAAGGGGCCCAATAATTGAATGATGCAGCAGAATCAAAGAGCTGACAGTAACTACCTTCAAAGTTATCACCTGGAACAAATACAACAAAAGTTAACTGAAGCTAATAAAAAATCTGCAAGTCCATTGATTCTTCTAAACCAATAATAAAAGATTATTTCTACATTGCTAAAAGGATATATTATATAGTACAATATAGACCCTATCTCTATAAATATGGCTGGGGATGTAGTTCTGTGGTTAAATGTCCCTGTATCCAATCCCCAGTATGGGGAAAGGGGGTGGGGGTCAAAGTTCCTACAGAGCTTACTAGGTCTTAATGGCTTCATTTGGTTATAGCTTAAGACAATAATTAATCCTCGTGATGTGAATTAGTTATAAAGTAAATTAATAATATTCTTTAGTTTGTTAAAGAAGTTTTGATATCATTTAGAAAGTTTTTTACCCAAAAGCTATAGTTCTTTAAAGGGATAACTCACAATTCCTTATATATAGAACACTCATTTTTTTCCCCAAGACAGAATAAAGACTTTAGTTTTTAACCAAATCATTTTAGGTTTTCTTTACTATCAATATAGGTTTTAGGTTTTCTTTACTATCAATATCTGTGGATTAAATGAAACTAATGGATGTTATCTGACAGCAGGCTCATATTTTACAGTTTTATACCATTTGTAACATTATTGTACAACAGTCCTAAGACTCCTTATAGTATAACTTTTAAATTTTGGAAATGTGTTAAATTTTTTAATTCAATATGCATGTTGTAGCAAATCTATTGTTTGTAAAAACAATAAATAAAATGGAAAAAATTGTGAATTAATATGAGCTAATTAGACTTAACTGATATAAACAATGCCACTAAAGCAATATAAAAATCTCCAACAGTTCTTCACACTTATTTACAAGTAAAAGTTTCTGACAGTCAAAGTACAGACACAAGGGAACATCATATAATATGTAGTATCCATACCTGACAACATATGCCTTTATTAGGGTCTTAAATCTTAGGCACTAAATATTTAGAAGCCAAAAATTAAGGAAATAAATTGCATGTTAACTCTAGATACTCAAAGTTAATTTGGAACTGAAGGTTTTTAACTTTGGAGTTCTCCTCATTGAACTGCCAGTCATCTGAGTCCTAGTATCACTAAAACTCAGAATCCCCCTGTTGTGACTACTCCTACCAATGATGGTAACAATGTGATTGCCCTGAATTGATATAATTCTCAAAAGAACATCTCACAAAATAATGTAGGAAACTAACAGGAGATTAAAGAGTTATCATCCATAGCTATAAAATGACAACCAAAAATGGTAAGTATGTATCCACCATTCATCAAAAAGTTCACAGTCCAAATGCAAATTTAAATGAAGTATATTATCTTGTTTGTTATCCTATAAGACTGTGTATCATCTTTGATACAAAGTGATGCTTCTGAACTAGGCAGGTGGAAACCTGCATGATGATGGATTTGTACTCACTTGTCTATGTTCAACTAACCTGAATCATGAGTAAATTTGAAAGATTAGCAATAATCATAGAAAAAAAAGAGTGGAACTAACTGGTTCTTACAACACACTGGCAGCAACAGTACACATTCCAACGGCCAAAATCCACCACAAACTACTAAATTCAGCTTGAGATCCCAATTAGGTACTTAAAAAAACAAAAACAAAAACCTGTAGAGGGTAGGCCTATTCATTTAGGCATCCAACATTCTTCCCAACTTAGCATCAAAAAAGAAATTCAACCAAATTTCCCACATTTAAACAACCAAATGACTTTCTGGAGAAGTAACTGCATCTGTTTGGTACTATTTCCTAGACTGTCACAAGTCTATTTCTGGACTGGTCAAATATAATAAAATATTAAGAAATGAGTGTTCAACAATCATCATAAATTACTATAAACAGAAAGATAACTTTTTCCTTTAAAAAAATTAGCCAAATAAAACGTCAAAAGTTTTCTCTTACCTAGAGAAATCAAAAATAGTTATTTTATAAAGTGTTATCTTTATAAAAATTAATTTGATCCTAAAAAAACATATTTCAACAAACTTGAAGAAGTGATTTATATTAAATGACTCAGGCATTTGAAGTCCGGCTATAAGGAATTCACAAGATTTACAGTGTTCATCTGGATCAGTATTCATAATGAAGTAGCCTTGTCAAAATTTCAGCTGATAGTTAAATGTTTCTGTCTACAAATTGGAATTCTTCTGCAAGAACAGTCCTTCTTTTCTTTTAAAAAGCAACAGAAAAGGTACTAGATACAAAACCTGCCTGCATTATTTGCAAAATATTATCTAAAGATCTCTAAGCAGACAGATGCACAGAAAAATAAACCTACTATGGTATTAGATATGCTTTGCATTTGTGTTTTAGTAATTCACTCTTCATGTTATTGATTTATCTTCTAACTCCCTGAAGGGAGTTGAGTAGTAGAAAGATCTTGGCCTCTAGCAATCCATCACCCATCAGTTTCTTAATACAAAGCATTCAGAAGAGACAGTGGAGGCAGGAAGCAAACCAAATAAAAGGGAAAGATGCAGGTGCAAAAGCATCTAACATCCAAGTTTTGAGAAAACTAACTTCCAATTCTACTGATGCTCAGTAAGTGGGTTAACAAAGTGCTTTAAAGGAATCAACTTACTGGGAGGAAGAGGGACTTAAAAAAGAAAGAAAAGCTAATTTCTGCATTTTCTTCAAAAACTTAAAACTCTAGCAATTAGAAAGAAGTAACTATTCGATGACTTGTCACGAAACCTCCCTGGTTTGGCGGCCAAGACTGAGTAGCAGTGGCTGCAGACTAAATAGGAAACGCCACTGCGAGCGGTTTACACCCTCCCCCCTCTGCCTAGTGCTTCTCCGCTTCCAATCGGGATAGGTCACAGACCCAAAAGGGAAGTGGAGGAGCAGCGGCACCCCAGGGCAAGGTTTTTTCCCTTTCCTCTTCATTCCTGCAGAAGGGTGAAGCTTCTTCTCACCTGCTTTTATTCGGCCGTTATTACCCGACTGACTAGCTCCACAGATGCACCGCCTGGGTTTCCATTTCCTGCTGTTTTGCTGCAAATTTGGAGAATGCCCGCTTCCTTCAAACCTGTTCATTTCCACTAGCCACGTCCCCCTCCCCGAAAACCAAAGCCGACGACGAAAAGACAGCCCTCGAGGGGACTCAGGCCGGCAGGTCTCGGACGCTGGGCCGTCTTGTGCCCGGGGGGTGCATCCACCGCCACCCGGGTGGCCGGCTGGGAAGGGAGTCGCGGCCAGGCCGGGAGACCGGGCGAGGGGACGCCCCCACAGGCCCGCACATCGCGGGCCGCCCCGCACCCTCCGCCCGCAGCTCACCGTCAGGCCGGTGCCCAGCACGATCACGTCGTACTCCTCATTCATGGCGGGGCAGGGCGAGGATCGAGGATCCGGGAACAGAGAAAGCGCAGAGGCTCTGCGACCACCCTAAGAAGGAGGTAAGGTGTTCAAGCCGTTTGGGGCCCGAGGGAAAGGGAAGAGCGGAGGGGAGGTAAAATGGAGCTGACCGGGAGGCGAGGCCGACCGCCACCTCAGACGGGAAGAGCTGAGCTGGGCAGGACGGGGAGGGAGGGCCGAGAGGAGAGGGCGCGGCGGGCGGTGACCGAGCCTCCGCAGACGGGGCGGGGCCTGCCGAGAGGCCGCGAGAGCCGCCAGTCACGCGCTCCCCGTCCTCTCATTGGCTACGTCCCTGTCGTTCGCCCAACCTTCTTCTTTCCTCGCCAGTCGCGAGAGGAGGGCGGGATGTCGCCATTTTGGCTTCCCGTTCCCCGCCTGTCCTCTGCCACCGTGGTTTGGGCGGCGGCGCGCTGGCCCGGAGTTGAGTTGCGCGAGAGAAGTGGGACCCTGACTGTGGTGCGTTTGTCACTTTCATGACTCCCGCGGCTTGGGCAAGAGCTCGCTAAATCCAAGGGCCAAAGCCAGGCCGCTGCCCTTGGACTTTGAGCTTGAGCCGTTAGGTGCATGTGTGGCCACGTGGGTGCGGAACTCCCATCTGGGACGCCTCTTGGGGGCTGCCAGCTTCGGTCGCACGCTGCAGCTTGGCGCCTGCTCCTGTCCACATGGCAGAGAAGAACAGCACTTCGTGCCCCGTGCTGTTCTTATGGGTTCTGGGAAGTAAATTTGACTTAAACTGGTTTCCATGCTGGAGAAAATTTGGCCCCAAGTAGCCTCCAAAATGAGTGACCGGCACCCTAGCTTGATGTGCACACAGGTCGTAACCTAACTTAAGAGTATACCCTGGTAACCAAGCAACTGAGCCTCAGCCAGTCTCGGGCTGAAGGCTGCCAAATTGCGCCCTAATTAGGCAAGTGCTGAATTGCACTACTCGAGTAATCTTTGTACATTTCCTGTTTTTCTGGTTATAAATACAGTTCACCACGTTGTAGGTGCGGGGCATTCTGAACCATTATTGGCTTGATGCACTGCCTAGTTCCATGTATTTGTTGTTTAAATAAGCTTTTAAAGTTAATTCATCTTGGTTTTTTGTTTAACAAATTGGCATAGTTAGTAGGGTCCAAAGTAGAACTTACATTGTTTCCCAGAAGCATCAAGCCTCTGCACGAACTACCCACAACCGCACTTTGGGCCTGCTGATGTCTTAAAGCATCTAAAGGCCCTGGGTTAAGTTTCTTGGATCTCATGCTTCCACTCATTTCGGGTTTTCAGCTCTACAAGTTTATCTGAGCAAACTTTGTTATTCTTTTCTCTTTCTCCCCTCACCCTACTTTCTTCCCACCCCACTTTCCTGAATTGGATTCAGTTAAGACGCCTCAGTTGTTTTTTAACAGACAAAATATGAATTGGGTTTCAAGTCAAATTGGACTTAACACTTTTAACTGGAATAGATCCAGTTAAGGGACTCAGATAGATTGTTTTTTGTTTATTTGCTTATTTTGGGTTTTGTTTATTTCTCCAATTATTTATAGGTTCTTCACAATTAAAGAATTGTAAAACTCCACTTTCTGGGACTCCCATCTAGATTCATGTATTAAAATTATGGGCCCAGAACGTGTGCATTTTGGGGATATTGGATTACTCTAACTTTAAACAACTTAGAAAAGCAGTGGCACTGGTTTTAATTTGGAGAGAATTACAAGTCATATGAAAAACAGATTTTTTTTTTTTTAAATCCTGCTAAAAGCCAGCTACCTAGGCTCACACCTGTAATCCCAGTAGCTCAGCAGGCTGAGACAGGAGCATTGTGAGTTTAAAGCCAGCCTCAGCAAAGGAAGGTGCTAAGCAACTCAGTGAGACCCTATCTCTAAATAAAATACAAAATAGTGCTGGAGATGTGGCTTAGTGATTGGGTGCAGTGAGTTCAATCCCAACACCAAAACAAAACAAAAAAAACTGCTAAAACAGGACAGTACTTGCCTAGCATGTACAAGACATTGAGTTCAATTACCAGCACTGAAAAGAAAAAAAAAAAACTGATAAAACAATAGAGTATATTTTTTTAATTCTTGTGTAGACACATCTAGAAAACCTAATGCATCAGAAATTGCTTCCTTTTTTTTTTGAAAAAGCAGTTAAGGGGCTGGGAATGTGGCTCAAGCGGTAGCGCGCTCGCCTGGCATGCGTGCGGCCCGGGTTCAATCCTCAGCACCACATACAAACAAAGATGTCGTGTCTGCCAATAACTAAAAAATAAATATTAAAAAAAATTCTCTCTTTCTCCCTCTCTCTCTCTCTCACTCTCTCTTTTTAAAAAAAAAAAAAGTTAAGGGTTGGGCATTGGGGCTCAGTGGTGGAGCACGTGCTTCACATGTGTGAAGCCCTGGGTTCAATCCTCAGCACTACATAAAAATAAATAAAGGTAAAAAGAAAGGTAAATAAAGAAAAAGAAAAAAAGGAGTTAAGCTTTAAGCAACAAACTAAGGGCATGATGAAAGAGGTCTGTACTTTAATAACTGAACTAAAACCCTGACTCTTCTCTCTGTCTTTATCTAAATACTCTTGATTCCACTAACCCTTTATCCAGTTGCCTTTTTTCTCTGAAGATAGAAAGACAAATGCTAAATAGAGTGATGCCTTCTGACCAACCAAGGTTACCTGCCATCTCTTCTGCCCCATGTTCTGAGACAGAACTTAGAGCCAGCATAAGAGAATCCAAATCTAACAGAAATTCCTCAAAAAAATTTTCCAGAACTTTAGAATTCTCATAGGAACTTAAAATCTGAGACTCCCTGACCTCTACCAACTTATGCATATGACATTGGGACCTGGGGAAGCTTGAAATGGATGACAAAAACAGAATGGAAGGAGGATATTAATAACCCTTTCAAAACTTGTTCAAGGTGGGACAAAGGAAAGGTAGGAAAAATTGTTGACTTTTAGATTGGGTCTCTGAGGTGTTTTTTTTTGTTTTTTGTTTTTTTTGAAGAAGAAGAAGATTAATTCGTCCACTATATAATCCTGCAGGCAAGAGAAGGAAGAACCAGTGCAGATTACAGAGCTCACTTAGAATCACAGTGAAGCATCTGGACTCAAAATATATCAAAGACCATTTCCTGCCATAACTAAAATGCCAGAAAAACCAGGCAGCCATAAACCCTGTCGGGAGAGAATGGACTGTTACAACTATGACTTTCCAGTTATTTTTCCAGCAATTTCTACAGGGAACAGGGACCAAAGGATCTGTAATTGGTCCAGTAGAAGACTTCAGAAGGAAAGCAAAGGACTTTAGGGATCTGGTATGGCATGGGAGACTCACTGAAATAACCCTTGGGATTATCTTTGTGCTTCTTAACCAATGTACTACATGCCAACTTGACAGCTGCAGAAGTCAAAAGGTGATCTGCCTGCATCATGTCTGAGATGAGCACCACCACAATTACTTTATCCCCCAAGAAACTGCAGAGGATAGAACAGAAATAACACAAATTGAAGTTGTAGCAATTTGCAAGTTTGAATATGATGTACTATTTGGTGTAGCAATTGGTTCTTCTGCAAAAATAAGAAGCAGTGTCAAACAAGTCCAGAAGAGATTTAACGCATTTGTGACATCTATTGAAAATCAGATCTTAAGGATTCTGCCAGTTTATTAATTGGTATGTGTTCCATCCTATTACCAGTTGGCTCAGCAATCAATCATGAGTTAGCTAATTTGTATATGGAATAGTAAATAAAAGTTTCACCTAAGAAGTAGTTAATTGAGCATACATGGATGGTTTCCATTTATATCCAAGCAACTACATGTAACACTATCTGACATAAACAATTCATGAATAGTACAGTTTTACTTCATCCTGTTGCCAATGAAATTTCTGCTTTCTTGAAGGCTTCAGAAAATGTCAAAAACAAATTGGAGGGCTGGGGTTGTGGCTCAGAAGTAGAGTGCTCGCCTACCATGCGTGAGGCACTGGGTTCAATCCTTAGGACCACATAAAAATAAAATAAAGACATTGTGTCAACCTATAATTAAAAATAAATATTTTTTAAAAAATGGATTCTGTTTGGAGCAATTCAATATTCTTCAGTTCTAGAATTATCTCTTCAAAAGCTCCCCAACCTCTCTACTGCTACGGACAACTGGATGAAAAAGCACACTCCATCTTATAATGCTTTTGTTCCTCCTGAGAGGATACTAGGAGCAAGTTTAAGAGTCTCTGTACTTTCATTGCTTCTGGTCAGAGGATCACTTATATAAGTGATCAACATGGTTTGAGTCCAAATGATTAAAAAATACTGGTGGAATAATTGTCTTATAATTGCCAAAATTATTTATAATCAATTTTTGGTTTGCCAAACCCATAATCTTGGGAAGACAACAAAAACTTCCACCACCTAATGGACCCTTCAAACATTTACAGATGGACTTAATTCAGTTGACACCCTCAGTGAGTGTTATAGTCAGCTTTTTTGCAGTTGTGACTAAAACAACTGGACCAGAACAACTCTAGAGGAGGAGAAGTTTATATGGGGCTCACGGTTTCAGAGATCTCAGTCCATAGATAACTGACTCCATTGCTCTGGGTTCAAAGTGAGGCAGCACATCATGGGGGAAAGGCTCAGTGGAGAAAAGCAGCTTAAGTCAAGGTAGGTGTGGGAAGTGGCCACGGGGAACATGCACCATTCCAGTGTATGCACCCAAAGAGCCATCTTCTCCAGTCATGCCCTGTCTGCCTGTAGTTGCCCCCCCACTCCAGGTGGTTCATTCAATCTAGGATAAACAGCTCTCAATTTAATTTCATCTCTGAATATTCCTGCGGAAACAGGAGCTTTGGGGAGACACCTCATCAAAACCATAACGTGAACACAATGATATTTTAAAATTGAAATTTAGTAAAGTCAGCCAATTGTATTGCCTTGGCCAAAGGTGTTACCCCTGGCTTTAATAGCAGTCATAACCACTTCCAACTGAAAAATGTAGATTGCCCTTTTATGAAATAGTTACTGGAAAATCCATACCCAATTTGTTAATAAAGCCTCAGGACTTGGGGTTGTGGCTCAATGGTATGGTGCTTGCCTAACATGCATAAGGTACTGAGTTCGATCCCTGGAACCACATAAAAATTTTCTTAAAAATTTAAAGTATTATGTCCATCTACAACTAAACAATATTTTAAAAAAATAAATAATAAAGCCTCAAACATCTACTACTGTCCTAAATAAGTGCTGTAAGCCTTTAATGCCAGAGTGTATTTTCATCCAAGAATAGAAGTTGTTTGTGGCCTACCAAGTAATGGTAACCAGATCTTTCGCAATCTGCAACCTAGAGACTGCATCTTCTACAAGTGACATCAGAGAAAGATTGCTCTTCATTGGAAAATACTCTACCAAGTTGTCATTACTCACACTGTCCCATAGTTTCAAGGCCTTGAATGTTGGTTCTACATCTCACAACTCAAAAGGATCTCTCCTGACACATGCAACTGTACACCTGTTGCAGCCTTTAAAATAAAACCAGGGAATTTTTTTTTTTTTTTTGAGAATTGTGGCATTATATGACATAACTTTCCCAAGATACAGAAAATTTGTCACCATGTAGGCCTTTTCTCCTGTTTTCTGCCATTCTAACCCCTTCCCTTTCCACACAGGGAATTCCACAGAATAGTAATCTTTGGATGGCTTTAATGTAGCAAAACTATGATCTTGCAAGAAACCAGAGTGATTGTTGATTCCGTGGGTTCCTGCCAAAAAAAAAAAATCAGAAAACTAATCTCTTAATGCCAGTTCCTCTTCATATTACAAACAAGAAATGGGAAAGGAAGAAACTCCCAAAGAATAGAATGTTATCCTTGGAATTTTAAATATTACTACTTTGCAGGGCGTGGTGGCGTACACCTGTAATGCCAGCGGCCAGGGAGGCTGAGGCAGAAGGCTCAGAGTTTAAGCCAGCCTCAGCAAAAGTGAGGCACTAAGCAACTTGGCGAGAACCTGCCTCTAAATAAAATACAAAATAGGACTTGGGGATGTGACTCAGTGGTTGAGTGCCCCTGAGTTCAATCCCAGTACCAAAAAAATAAAAATAAATATCACCTTTTTTTTCTTTTCAACGCTTGTGAAAAGAAGTATTGCAACCTTTCTGGTCAATAACCTGATTGTTATTGGGTATAGAAAAACTGTCTGGTTGATGCCTGTACGAAGTATTTTGTGCTTCCAAACAATATTTGAGACTTGGAAACTACCTAAGTAGGTATGAATGATTGCTTATATCATGCCCAGGAGAGGAAAGCTTCTCAGCTTATGACAGAATTAAGAAGTACAGGGTGGGAGGAGGGGTTGGGGAGAGGGAACATGCACTCTTCCAGGGCATGCCCTCAGTGACCCATCCCTACCTGCCTATAGTTACTACCCAGCCATTCAAACTAGGATGGACTAATTGAGTTACATCTCTCATGATCTAATCATTTCACCTCATGGGAGCTTTAGAGGGATGCCTCATCCAAACCATGATATTCAACCCTACCCACAAAAAGCTCTTGTCCATCTCACAATGCAAAATGCATTTAGTTCATCTCCAAGAGTCTCACAGTCTTAATAATTTCAGCATTGTCATAAATCCAAATCCAAAATCTCATCTGAGGCTCAAGACAAACTCAACTGTGAGCCCAAATCAAAGATAACTTACATGTATCCAACATATGCTACAGAGTAAACATTTCCATTTCAAAAAGGGAGAGATGGGGGCATAGAAAGAAGGGTTGAACCAAGGCAACACCAAAATCCAACTGGGTAAACAAGTCCTGTAGCTCCATGTACAGCATTTAGGATACTTGTCTGTGAGATGTTTTTTTGATTTTGTTTTGGTACTGGAGATTATATACCCAGCCTTTTTTTTTTTTTTTTTTGAGATAGGGTCTAACTAAGTTGCTTAGAGCCTCACTAAGTTGCTTAGAGCCTCGCTAAATTGCTTAGGCTGACCTCAAATTTGCAGTTCTCCTTGCAGCCTCCTGAATTGCTGGGATTACAGGCATGCACCACCATTCCCAGCAAGATGTTATTTTCGAAGGGCTTGGGCAGCTCCAATCCTTGGGTCTTGTCAGTTGTAGCATACATTCCTCTCTTTTACCCTGGTTCTCTCTGCACCCAGCAGCTTTCCTCGGCAGACAGTCCAAGTTACTAGCATCTCTTAATTCCTGAGGTCTCCATTCTAGATCTGGCTTCACCTTTACAGTTTAACACACTGTTTTCTTAGGGGCATCCTTCAGGGAGTTTGACCTTGTGACACTTCACCTGGATTTCAAGGCCTTCCTTTGAAATTTCAGTGGAAGCCTCTATGACCCCTTAACTTGAGCATTCCTTAACTTTAGCACCAGGTGGATAATGCCAAGGTCTACTGCCAGCTCACACACTACCTGGGCTGCCTGGAATCATAGCTGCAGTGGCCTTTGAGTGCCTGCATGACTCAGAATGATGGAACAGCTCCTAGGTACCCCATGCAATCAGGGCACCCCTATGATATTGTCCTAAAGGAATTTTCTGTACCATGGAAACTGCAATGGGTGTACTTTTGGAAATTCCTGAGATAGGTCTCTTTCCTATTGTCTCTGTGTGAAGTACTTAGAATCTCTTGAGGTGCTATAATTTCTTCAACAAGCACATCTTCCTCAGCCACAGCTTTACATGCATTCTTTCATCCAAACTGCAAGTTTTTAAAATTTTTTAGCCCTAGTAACTGAACAGGCACTTCACAGAAAAAGAAATATGAATGGTCAATAAATATATGGAAAAAAGTTCAACATCTCTAGCAATTTGAGAAATGCAAATTAAAATTATACCAAGATTCCATCTCACTCCAGTCGGAATGGCCAATTATCAGAATACAAGTAACAATAAATGTTGATGAGGATGTGGGGGGTGGGGAGTACTCTCATATATTGCTGGAGGGACTGAAAATTGTTGCAACTACTCTGGAAAACAATATGGAGATTCCTTAGAAAATTTGGAATGGAACCATTATTTGACACAGTTATCCCACTCCTTGGTATATACCCAAAAGACTTAAAAGCAGCATACTATAGTGATGTGACCACATCAATGTTTATATAGCAGCTCAATTCACAATAGCTAAGCTATAAAACCAACCTAGGTGCCCATCAGCATACAAATGGATAAAGAAAATGTGGAATATATGCACAATGGAATACTACTCAGCCTAAAAAAGAATGACTTCGTGACATTTGCTGGCAAGTGGATGGATCTGGAGACTATTATGCTGTGAAATAAGCTAATACCCAAAACCCAAATGTCAAATGTTCTCTCTGATATGCGGATGCTGACACACAATAAGGGTGGGGGAGGGAAAAATAGAAATTCATTGGATTAGACCCAGAGGAATGAAGGGAAGAGAGGGGGATAGAATAGGAAAGATGGTAGAATGAATCTGACATAACTTTCCTATGTTCATATATGAATACACCACCGTGAAACTTCACATCATCTACAAGCACAAAAATGGGATCCTAATTAAAATAAGTTATACTCCATGTATGTATAATATATCTAAATGCACTTGGGGCTGGGGTTGTAGCTCAGTGGTAGTGCACTTGCCTAGCATGCATGAGGCACTGGGTTCAATTCTCAGCACCACATACAAATAAATAAAATAAAGGTCCATCAACAACTAAAAAAAAATTTTTAAATGCACTCTATTGTCATATGTATCTAAAAATAACAAGAAAAAAATTTTGCCCTGTTTTCTGCTCGAGTCTCAAAGTAAACCCGGCTCAAAGCTGCCAACAATATCCATGCCGACTGAATGTTGTGCTACCTTGAAATTTTCTCCACCAGATTAGTCCGTCATCTTTAAATTCAGCCTCATACAAAGTCTCAAGACATAGGCAAAAATGTAGTCAAGTTCTTTGCTACAATACAACATAAGTGTCTTTTAGTTCAATTCCCAATAGAATCCTCATTTTTCTTTGAAACCTCATGAGCATGGTCTGCATTCCTATCAGTAGTATTCTTCTGAGCTCCCACCAAAATTGTCTGTTAAGTTCTGCTT